GCGGCTGTCACGTGGCCTGCACTCTCAGTCACCCACCTTCAGCTTCTGCCCCCGCCACTCTGTTGGCTCTGTTGACAAGGGTTCTCCTGGTTGCTTCATGTGGTCCTCCTCCTGGCCCCATTCTTGCCAGATCTCTGGGGAGCTTCCTCCCAAAAGCTCTAAAACACATGATGCCACATGCTTCCCTCCCAGTTCCCTGGCAGATGCTTTCTGTGTAGTTGAAATCTTCCCCTACCCGCTGTCCTCAGCCCCGGGCCCCAGTGCCCTCAGGTGGTCATGTGCCCTGGCCTTAGCTCCAGGTGCCTTTGGTAAGCAGACAACCCCCCAGTTAAGATCCTTAGTCACCATGTGGGCCTCTTAGGTGGGAGGGAAAAATAGAAACCCAAGATTTATTTTGCACCTGCTGAGTGCAAAGCCCTCACAGTATGGATGCGAACAAACTGTTGTTGTTCCCCTTTTACAGATGAGGAAACTGAGGCTCAGAGAGGTTAAGTTATTTTCTCAAAGTCACAGCTAGTAAGTGGAACCAGGATTCCAGCCAGGTCTGTGTGATTCTCTCACTGTCCCTGCTGTCCCTCCGGCACTAGCTGGAGAGGTCCCCTGGGAGCCTGGCTCCAGGGTGGGATGCCACTTCCCCCATGTCTCCTTTCCCAGCGCTTCTGGCTGCTCCTCCTGACCCGGGGCCTGGTGGGGGTCGGGGAGGCCAGTTACTCCACCATTGCGCCCACCCTGATCGCCGACCTCTTCGTGGCAGACCAGCGGAGTCGGATGCTTAGCGTCTTCTACTTTGCCATTCCTGTGGGCAGGTGAGTAGGCCGTGGGCCTGATGTGGGGCAAGGGCTTGGTGGGGTGTCTGACTGACCACACGGACCCTCTTTCCCCTTTGTCTTCCCACAGTGGTCTAGGTTACATTGCAGGCTCCAAAGTAAAGGATGTGGCTGGAGACTGGCACTGGGCTTTGCGGGTGAGTCTGGTTATTGTTTGGGGAACATCTCCCTTTCTGATCTAAAGATAAATTCCCATTTTTAACTCTGTGTAAAAAAAAAAAAAAAAAAAAAAAAGTGTGTGTGTGTGTGTGTGTGTGTGTGTGTGTGTGTGGGCATGTATGCCTGACCGTGGGAGTCAGAGGTCAACTTTGGGAAGCTGGTTTTCTCCTTTACCTGAAGGTCCTGGAGATTGAATTGTGCGGTTTGGCTGCAAGACCCTTTACTCACTAAGCCAGCTCGCTGGCCTCACACACATCCCTGTTTGGGGCAGTGCTCAGTGTACTGAGCGGAGCCCACTGCAAGTCTGGTCCTCAGTAGGGAGCCAACAGTCTCTATTGCAGATACAAAGCTGTAAGCCCTGGAAAGGGGCAAGGTTAGCTTTCCTAATGCCAAGTGAATCTGACCCAGGACTTCCATGCCATCACTGGATCCACTCACGTTTTCTTCCCCCCATGGTAACTTTGTTTAGGAGTCCCAAGTGATTGTCTTTCAACTAAGCAACCTGGGTACCTCAGATCCTTGAACAATAGTCATGAAATGGTGTCTGATTAGATGAACGTGGGTCACATGCCCATTATGTAATCAATCAGTTGTGGAAGGAAGGCCTTAGGTTAGGCCTTAGAGCCAGTTTGAACCATGTGGAGTGGAGTAAGGGAAATTTGGGTGGGGGGTCCCTGAAACAAAATCAGAGTGCTGTTACCAAAGAAGCAAATGTAGGCCTGTGAAAATAGGGTGTCCCCAGTAGCAAACCTTCTCACGTCCCGGTCCCTATGTCTCTGAAGCAGCCCTTATGGAGTTTAAGACGTGGGGAGCTAGGCTGTCTGACCTCCTTGCTCTGTGGCCCCAGAGGTTTAGTATACCCCTGCCCTGTACCCCAAAGCTTGCGCTTTCTCCAGGTGACACCAGGTCTGGGGGTTGTGGCTGTCCTGCTGCTGTTCCTGGTGGTACAAGAGCCCCCAAGAGGAGCTGTGGAGTGCCACTCAGGCTCATCACCCCTGAGCCCCACCTCATGGTGGGCAGATCTGAAGGCGCTGGCACGAAAGTGAGTTTTCCCCACCCTTCCACATCTCAGGCCTTGATAGGGGCTGGGTCTTTTTAACAGGCCACATTTTGTGTCCTGCCAGGAGGCCACATTCAGGGCAAGACCCAGGCATTGCTGCCTGCTTGTGGCGTATGCCTGAGATACAGGCATAGGTCACATCTAACTTCTGACAGTAAAGTAAGCCAGGGAGGGAGGAGGGGACACACCCATGGGTCTGACTTCCTCCCAATGTCTGCAGCCCCAGTTTCGTCCTGTCTTCCCTTGGCTTCACTGCCGTGGCCTTTGTCACTGGCTCCCTGGCTCTCTGGGCCCCAGCGTTCCTGCTGCGCTCCCGTGTTGTTCTGGGAGAGACCTTGCCCTGTCTCCCTGGAGATTCATGTTCTTCCTCTGACAGGTACATGGGAGGGGCTGGGCAGGGAGACTGCGTGGGGGACATAAGGGGAGTTCTGACTCTACCAGTTACCTCCGCTCTTGGAGTGTCAGTTTCTGGTTCTGACAGCCAGTGATAAGGTCACATGTCAGCTCTGGGGTTCTGTGCTGGATGCATTTGGGTATGAGGGCAGTTGGGGTGGGCTGTCCTCGCCGGGTCACAGGGCCTCACAGAGAGGGAGGAGCTCCCATGCCCCTACAGTAGAATATGCCAGGGAGGGAGTCTCATCTTTGGGCTCAACCCTAGTCTCATCTTTGGACTCATCACGTGCCTGACTGGAGTCCTGGGTGTGGGCCTGGGTGTGGAGATCAGCCGCCGCCTTCGCCGCTTCAATCCTCGGGCTGACCCCCTGGTCTGTGCTGCTGGCCTCCTGGGCTCCGCACCTTTCCTCTTCCTGTCCCTGGCCTGTGCCCGAGGTAGCATCGTGGCCACCTACGTGAGTGGTGGGCTATCGTGGGTATCTGCATGGGGGCAGGAGGGATGGTATGGCCTTCCTGGGCACCACCATGTCCACTGAGGATGGCCGCCAGCAGCTAACTCCATGTCCACAGTCAGGGCAGACTGGAGGTGGAATGCCTCCTTTCAAATCTCAGCCCTGGGCCTTTTCAGCTGAGTGCTGCTGGCAAAGCAGCATGGCCTCGCTGTTTCCTCAGGTGTAAAGTGGTGTTACTGAGGCTAGCACCTGCCTTACAGGGTGTGAGGGGGCCTAAGTGAGGGAGTTAATGGATAAGCCTGGTCATGTGATTCCCTCCCACTTCCGCCATCCAGATTTTTATCTTTATTGGGGAGACCCTGTTGTCCATGAACTGGGCTATCGTGGCTGACATCCTACTGGTGAGTAGCTGGGCAGAGGCTGAAGGGAGCAGAGATATCGGGGTCAGGAAATGACACTTGATCTGAATTCTGGCCTTGGTTTCTCTGGGACCTCTTCTGAGTTCCCCTTTTCCCCCAGTATGTGGTGATCCCGACTCGACGCTCTACTGCTGAGGCCTTCCAGATCGTGCTATCCCATTTGCTAGGTGACGCTGGGAGCCCTTACCTCATTGGTCTAGTGAGTACTATCCGTGGCTGGGATGCCGTGGTATCGGGACCTGGTTCTCCCTGCCCTGGCAGGTGGCTGGTGGCCAGTGATAGGAGCCTAGGTGGGTGGGGTAGTCTGGCCTACTGAAGCAATAGCCACCTGTGGTACTTTACCCCTTAGCGCCTCTGGTGGTTGGGAAGGAACTTGGGTAAAGGTTTTACCTGTGGGGCTGTGGGTCTTACCCTGTGGCTCAAACATTCATCTTTCTAGGTGTTCAGGTCTCCCAGTTCCTGGCTCTGACTCTTTTTGTCCTAGCAGATTTCTGACCGCCTCCGACGAAGCTGGCCCGCTTCCTTCTTGTCCGAGTTCCGGGCCCTGCAGTTCTCACTCATGCTCTGTGCTTTTGTTGGTGCACTGGGTGGTGCGGCCTTCCTGGGCACTGCCATGTTCATTGAGGATGACCGCCGGCGGGCTCAACTCCACATGCAGGGTCAGTGAGGGCCACTGTCAGCCCACATCCACAGTACCGCCTGTCAGTCTGTCTGATGGCTCACACATATGCACCCCACATCTCTTACTCCACAGATGTCCCTCCACTCAGACTATCCCATCCACCCAGGCCCTTGCCACCCGCCAGGGTCAGAGTATCAGCTTCCCAGTATCATCCCACTCAGCTTCGAGTCTGTCTTAAAATGTATCAGCAGGCCGTCTATGCTGCCCTGCCTGTTTGTCCCCTGCCCCCTTGCTGGCTTTTATCTGACTGGCCTTGGCTCTGACCCCTTCCCCACAGGTCTGTTGCATGAGACGGGGCCCTCAGATGACCGGATTGTGGTTCCTCAGCGAGGCCGTTCTACTCGGGTCCCTGTGTCCAGCGTACTTGTCTGAGGAGCTATTGCTCACCCAGCCGCAGTGCGCCACAGCTGGCCATGGGCCCACTCCAGGAGGTGCCCAGGCAGAAGCCCTCACCAGGTCCAGGCCTGAGGAGGAAGCCCTGGGATATGTCCCAGCTCCCAGACACTACATGGGCAACCCAGGGAGGAGATCGGGGTCTAGAAATGGGGGGTGTCCAGTCTGTTAGGGCAGCCCAGAGGGCTTGGTGCTATTTGTAATGTAATAAAATTTGTAAACAGACTACAACTGGCTGCTTGTCTCTCTGTGGGTGCCATTGGCTTCAGGAAATGTCTGTGGCCTCAAGAGTTACCAGGGGCAGTCGGGTCACCCTGTGGGTAAGTCCCCGTCTTCAGGGCTGGGCGATCTAAAAGGAGGACTGCTCTTTTCTGAGTGAGTTGGTTCGGTGTGACCGTGACTCACTGTGGTCCCCTGGAAGTTGCTCTCCCAGAGGCAAGCCTGGGAGGTGGGGGCAGTGCTGCCCTTGTCCCTCACACTCCCTGGCAGAACCTCATTAGTGTTCTGGAGCCCAGGGATGTGGAGGCCACAGCTGGGTGGCACATGTCTCCCCCCCTCCCTATTGGAGCCGTTGCCTCATCCTGCAGCCTTAGACCTTTCCTTCATAAGGTCCCTCTGCCTCCTCCCCCTTCCCACAACTGGGTGGGGGTGAGTGGGCAGGGGGCAGGCTCAGCCGGCTGAGGAGCCTGATGATTTCCTGCCCTCACCACAGCTTCCTGTCGCACGCGGGTGGCGAGGAGGAGGAGGAGAAGAGGCAGGCGGGGAGCAAGAAAGGGGCAGGTACAGCTGGGCACAGGGATCGTGCTGGTGGTAGTCAGAGCACAAGCCCCAGCTCAGCCTCCAGGACTAGCCCCTTCCAGCACTGATCTCAACTCAGTCCAGCAAGGAAGTGGGGGTCACTGAGCCCCAAAGGAAGATAAGCTGCTTGCCACTAGATCCCAGGCTGGGGCCCGCTCAGTTCCACACCCCTGCTGCCACTCTGCCTAGAGGGGCCGCAGTGCAGCGGGGTCTGGGCCAGGTGCTCTGCAGATGGAAGCAGACACTCTGAGCCCCGTGGGGCTGGGCCTCCTGCTGCTGCCGGTCTTGGTCACGCTCCTGGCTGCCCTGTGTGTACGCTGCCGTGAGATGCCAGGTAAGTGGGGAGCTGTGGAGTACTGGATACTGGGCACCTCATTGGCTCTTCATGCCTTCCCCGTCCATAGCTCCCTCTAATTGTCCCTACTTTAGTCCTGCCTGTGGGGGACGGGATGGGACCAGGTGTCTTTGTTCCCGATGCACCCTGACGCTGCCTCACTGGCCCTCTCCCTTCCAGCCTCCTATGACAGCGTTTCCACAGAGAGGTGAGTGTGCAGCCCCAATTCCCTGTGCGTCTTCCCTTTATTCTGATGAACTTGGGGCTGGGGCCCTTTTGGCCCAGTACCTAAGCTGCCTCTTTCCTGCCAGCTTGTACCCACGGAGCATCCTCATCAAACCATCTCGTGAGTTCAGTGTCCTTGGCCTTCCTTGAGGGTTCTTGGGAGTGTGCTTTTGTCCCCGCTAAGATATCTGCAGGGCTATTACCTGGGTTGAGTTGGGGGACATTCGGAGCCCCCATGCCCGTTTAGAGCATTTTTAGGGGTACATCTGTCCTTAGAGGCCTTGACATGATGGGGGTGTGTGGAGTAATCCCCTCAAGCTTGGTTCTGTGTCCTCAGAAACAACCTTTTCCCGAACAACTGCCACTTCCTACCCTCTCGTTACTTCCTTCCCACCCCTGAGGCAGCCAGACCTGCTCCCCATCCCGTGAGTACCCCTCAGTTCCCTCCCTCTGATCCACTGTGCCTCCTTACCTTTTAGGATGGGGGTGGCTTTTCCCCTGTTGTAACCCCTCTTGCCCCCAGACTCCTACCTTTGGCTTCCAGGAGATCCCCACAGCCCCTTGGAGGTTCACATCAGACGCCATCTTCCCGGCAGGATTCAGATGATGGTAAGGGTGTACAGGGCTAGAGGGCTGGGGAGAGGGTATGCAGCCTGAGCTGACTCCATCTTCCTCTCCCTCTCTCTTTGAAGCCAACAGTGTGGCGAGCTACGAGAACCAGGGTGGGTCTAGGGTCTGGGCTACTGGGCGGGGTGGGGAGCCTGGGTCTATCCCAGGTCATGTTGACTTCTTATTTTTCATAGAGCCAGCCTGTGAGAACGTGGATGAAGACGAAGATGACGATGATTACCCCAATGAGGGTTACCTGTGAGTGGGGAGGTGGGAGGTGGGAGGTGGGAGGTGGGTACCCTTTCTTACCTCCTCATCCTTTCCTTCCAGAGTGGTGCTTCCTGACAGCACCCCTGCCAACATTCCTGTCGTCTCCTCTGCCCCTGTGCCCAGCAACCCTGACCTCCGAGACAGCGCCTTCTCCAGTGAGTTAGGGTTTCTGTCTACCTCCTTCCGCCATGTGCTGCTAGCTACGCCTCTCTTCCCTCTCATTTCTGTGATTGCCACGCTTCCATTTCCTCCTTCGGATGTTGGACTTCCTGCTCCTCACTTCTGATCACCTTGCTTTTCCTTTCACCTCCCCCCATCCCCTGTCTTATCATTTTATCTGTCATCTAAGAAATTTCCTGACTCTTCTTGAACCCTTCCATTGAAATTGTATTTCTTGGATGGGTATGTGGATACGCGCCTATAACCCTGGCATGAGGAATCTAGGTAGGAGGGTTGAGTCTGAGGCTAGCCTGGATGATACGGTGAGGTCCTGTCTCAAAAATCAAAACAGCACTACCACAAATAAAAAGAAAAGAAAAAAATTAATTTCTCTTATTATTGTTAGGCTTTCTGGTGTTCTTTTTATAAAGTACCCTGTTCTTGTTTCATGGAAGTAATGTCATCTAATGTGTCTGTAAGGACTTTGGAGGTTGTTTCTCTCTCTGTCTCTTGCCCACTCACACTATCTTCATTGAAGCTCTGTCTGCTTTACCATGTGGTCTTTGTTTCTCTTGGGCTGTGTTTTTCGGCTTTGGTCTCTTTCCTTCCCTGGACTTTCTTTAGGGTTTGGTGATCTTCAAGTTTCTACCTCTTCTCTCTGTATATCATGATTGTCCCTTATCTGAAAAACTTAAATAAAGATTTAGGAATATTTATAGATATGTAATGAATTCTGTTATGGATGGAACTCAAGGTTAAACATGGAATTAATTCACATACACACACACACACACATACACACACACACACTCTATGTGTGTATATATAGTCTGAAGGTAGGATTTTGTTTTGTTTTGTTTTGTTTTGAGGCAGGGTCTCACTATGTAGCCCTGGTTGTCCTGGAACTCACTCTGTAGACCAGGCTAGCCTCAAACTCACAGAGATCTGCCTATCTCTATCTCCTACATGCTGAGATTAAAGGTGTGAGCTACCATTCTCAGCCCTGGAGGTATTTTATGCAAATTTTAATTAATCTTTTGCATGAAATCAAAATTTTATGGTGTAAAATTTTCCATTTGTGACCTTACACCAGTCTTAAAAGTTTTGGAATTCTGGAATATTCTGAATGCTGAAGTTTTAATTCAGGAATACCCAACCATGTGTATTTATCCTAGACTATTATGTCTGTACCCTGGCTCTGTTTGTTTTATGGGTTTTGTTTTGTTTGAGGCAGAGTCTCACTGTGTAGCCTTGGCTGCCCTAGAACTCACTTTGTAGATTAGTCTGGCCTTTAACTCATAGAGATTCAATTCCCTCTGTCTGCTGGGTGCTGGGATTACAGGCGTGTTCCACCACACCTGGCCTCTGGTTCCATTGGTAGTCCATATTTCTAATTTGTCATTTCTCTCCTGAACCCCGATACTGATTCTTTCCATCCACCCACCCACCCACCCATCCATCCATCCATCCATCATCCATCCATCCAACCCCTTACTCATTTCCTGGATATGTCTGCTGGGTTATGTTTAGGGATTTAGTGAGTCAATTCAGCAAATTCATAGTGATAAAAGAATCATTGTTAGGGGCAAAATGACTAATTTTAAGTTCAGCTTGAGGCCCTGTATCAAGGGGTGGAGGTGGAGTGGATAAAGCCTCCATGTGTTCATGGTATGTGCATCTGTATAGCACACACACAAAGATAATAAAAAAGCTACTGGTAACTGAGGACCTGTTTTATGCCATGTAGTGTATATACTCATTAAACCTAACAGTTTCTGGATGCCCTGCTGACTACCCCTTCCCCCTCCTGCCCCTCACTTCTGTCTCTAAACTATGCTAGGGTCTATTCATTCAATTCTATTGACTGATTGGTCGATTGACATAATCTTGGTATTGTGAGGCCCAGTTTGGTGTTTAACCCCATAGCTCAAGTTACCTCCTACCTCAGTCTTCGGGGACCACAAACATGTGTTTCCATGCCCAGCAGGGTTATTAACAGATACTTGGTAGTACAGAATGTATTGCAAGCTCTAGTTTTCAATTTACTGTTTCAAGCCTCACAATAGTCCCGTGGGGCAGGATTATTATGTTATGAACTTTATCCTGTTATGAGCTTTATTCTGCAGATAAGGAAACCGAGGCACAGAGTGTCTAGGTAACTTATCCGAAGTCATGTAGCTGGTTGGTGCTGGAGCTGGGATTTGAACTAGTATATTTGGCTCCAAAGCCCAGCTTGTCTACATGCTCATACAGAAACCAGGCCAACTGTGAAGCCAGAAAACAAAAGCCATGTGTGGGCCTGGGGAGGTGTAGTGTGGGCAGTGGCTGGTAATGTTGAGAAGCCAGACAGGTCTGATGAAGAGAGGACTCCTTCTGGACCAAGTGTGCCATCTGCTCCACGTGCCACCAAGATGTCTGTACTCTGAGCTCCTTCAATCCCTGCTCCCAGCTGTCCTGTCAGTCCTGTGCTGTCGCTGTTTCATTTCTCCAGTGGACCTCTGTCCCCTGTGGCCCTTGCCCTTGCCCAGGCTGCTCCCCCTTGCCTTTCCTGAATATTCTTCCTATATCCTGTGGGATGGTCTCCGGGGAAGATTGTGTTTGGAAACCTGGGGGGGGGGGGCTCTGGGAACCAGTGCCTGGCTGAGGATCTTCTAGTGACTGCACTGCAATGCTTTCCTACAGTGGAGTCTGGTGAAGATTATGTGAATGTTCCTGAGGGCGAGGGGAGCGCACAAGCATCTCTGGGTAGGTGACTGCACCCATGTAGGGCCCATAGTCCCTCCCCACCCTCCCCACTGCCTGCCCTTCACACTGTCCCTCTTGATCTGTCCTCCACAGATGGGAGCCGGGAGTATGTCAATGTGTCCCAGGAGCTGCAGCCAGTGGCCAGGGCTGAGCTGGGTGTGTACCTAGGTGTAAGGGGGCAGAAACTGGAGAGCTGCCTTGAGCAGACTGCCTGCAGGCTGAACACCAATCTCCCTCTGCCTTTCCCTGCCAGACACCATGAAGTCCCAGGAGGTGGAAGATGAAGGAGAAGAGGAGGGAGTGGAAGGAGAGGAAGCCCCTGACTATGAGAATCTGCAGGAACTTAACTGAGAGCCTGGTGAGTGGTCTCTGTCCCTACCCCTACCTTGGCCTTCGCTCCAGGATCTCCTTCCTGGCCACCCTGATGCTTAGGCACATACCTTGTGGCTCTGGATACTGACTGGCTTCATGACTCGGTGACTCTGCCCTCCTTGTCTCCCCTGCCCTGTTGTGTTTCAGCTGCAGCCACCTGTCCTGGAACTAGCCTTGCTGGGAGGGCAGAGCTGGGCAGCCGGGAGTGGCTCTAAGGGAGTCCCATTTGACCTCTGCCTTGTCAACAGTCTGAGAATCTCCCCTAACTTATTGTCATTGTGGGATGCAGTCTATGTCCCCGGTATTCTGCACCTTCTGACGAAGCCTGAGAATGAATCTCGTTCCTGTCTGACTCTGTTGTGGAATAAAGGTGTTATGGCCCAAAGTCTTCCTTTTGTTTTTTTGTTTTGTTTTTATTGGGGCAGGTTTTGCTGTGTAGATCAGGCTGGCCTTGAACTTGTGGGTGATCATCCTGCCTCTGCCTCCCTGGTGCTGGGATTACAGGTGTGTACCAGTATGCATAGCTGTCAGCAGCCCTGTCTGGAAGGATGTGTAAGGTAGTGGGCTGCCAATTTCTTTGTGGGATGTTTGTGAATATGGGCATACATGACCTACGGGTCTAGGTGTGTGTGTGTGTGTGTGTGTGTGTGTGCAAATCTGCAGTCAGAGTGTCTGGATAGCTCTGCCTTTCTGTCTGTTCGTGGGTCTCCCTCCCCTACAGGGGCCCCACCACTCTCAACAGTCTTGGTTAAATACTGTAAGTGACAGCAGGCGATGACTTGAACTTAGCCGTTTTCTGAGTGAGACCTCTGATCTAGCCTGGCCCTTTGGGGCTATTCAGAATGTATTGCCCTACAGGTAGTTAATGGCTGTGCAGCTGTTTATTGTGACAGTGGTAGAGCAGGGTACAGGGCACCACAGGGTGGGGAGTATGTGTCAGCAGCAGGACCCTACCTTGGTGACCCTCATCCTTCTATTTATCAAACAAAGGGCTGGCCTTGATGGCCTCAGTGGGTGTCTTGGTTCTTGTCTTTTGCGTGGTTCTCAGTGAAATGACTGGAGTGGTCTGAGCAAGTCAGACTCGGTGCTGTGCACTGGCAGGTCTCAGTTGTTCCAGGGTGGAATGGGAGGATTTCTGGAGCTCAGGGGTTTAAGCCAGCCTGGTACACAGTGGGACATATCTTACCCCCCACCAAAGTGGCTAAGGCAGCTGAAGTTCAGGTGTAGCCAGCAAGTGTCAGAGCCGCTGTGTGACCACAGGCCTGCAGGTCTTACTCTGTCTGGAAGTGGGTATGGCCTGGTGAATATGCTTTATTCACCTGGACTGGCTCCATCCCCTGTGTTCTGGGAGTTTTCTCTCGGCCTCCTTTAGGACCCACTTTAGTCCCTGTTCCATTCTGTGTGGGTTTAGAGGAGCCAACCCAGCCTTCCATCCTGGGAGGTGAGCTGGTCCTTTTCTGCCTTGCATGATGTTTCAGGTAGGACCTGCTGCCCGCTGATCCCAGTTGTTACGGGGCCAGAAGGATATAGTTCTGGAGACCCCATTTGCCTGTGAATGAAGCCATGGAAAGGTGAAGGGTGGTTTAGACATGACCATTTTCCTGAGTCTAATCACACATGAGCAAGATGACCTCTACCACCTCTGGGCCATGTGAGCCAGTAAATCAGTGGGTCAGCAATTGGCTTGGAGTGTCTGTTGTGTAACCAATGCTGCTCTGATGGATACACAGAATTAGTGGTTTTCTCTGGCTGCTGAAGTAATCTGAGCTCCGGGTACACTCCCCACCCCAAGCCCTGTATCCCATAATCACTGTGGCTTTCCTGTTGACAGTTATGGCTAGTGTATACATTTTGTAGGTAAGAAGAGAACATGCTCAGAGAGGTGAGGTAACTTGCTCAAAGATGCACAGCCAGAAGGGTCAGTTTATGATCAGATCTGGGCCTCCAGAGTTACTACAATGCTTCTTGGTAGCCTCTTTATTTTGCAAAGTATCAACAGCTGGGGACAGGGAAGCCCTTCAAATTATCCAGCCACAGCAGGTTGAAGAGGGAGTGTCTGGGAAGCCTCAGCATAATTGAATGGGTTTAGAGCCTTTTATTTGGGTGGTGTGGGCAGGAGGAATAGGCAGAATCACCAACAGCAGTTTACTAACAAAGGCAAATTGGCAGAACAACCTTGTTGAATGATCTAGCAACAAGCGATAGTGAAGACAGGCAGTTCCTTGTGCTTACTTAGTAGGACTTTTACCACCTCAGTGGCTGTACAGGGCAGCAGGAAATGACAGAGGGGCGCAGTGCTGGTGGGTGGGTGGGATGCCAGCATGGCGGGATGCCAGTCACTGATGGGATGGACGCCAGCAGCAGAATGAGTCAGCCCATCAGCAAGAGAGGCCTCACTGGCAGAACGTGCATGCATCGAGGCAGCGAAGGGAGCCATGTGAAGGCAGGTGAAGGTGTGAAATGAGTTGTGGGATCCTTGCCAGGAGCCCCATGCTGACTTGGTTTCATTTGTTTAGACAGAATCTCATTGTTTAGCCCTGGCTGCCCTGGAACTCTGATCTAGAGATCCATCTGCCTCTGCTTGGGTTTATCATTATCATTATTATTATTATCATCATTATTATTATTTTAATTTGGAATGTTTAGCTATCTTGGGACTGGGATCCAAATGTAAACATAAAATTCCTTTTTTAAATTTTTTTTTCCATGTGATAACTTCCAGATTTTGGGTGGGGGAGGATTGAGACAGGGTTTCTCTGTAGCTTTGGAGGCTGTCCTGAAACTCGCTCTGTAGACCAGGCTGGTCTAGAACTCAGAGATCTGCCTGCCTCTGCCTCCCGAGAGCTGGAATTAAGGCACCACCAATGCCTGGCTAAACATGGAATTCTAATGTTTCATGTGCACCTTCTACACATAGTTTGAGGGCAGCTTTTTATATTTTTTTGAATGTACCTGCATTTGACTGAAACCTACCCCGTGAAGTCACAAGTGGATTTTCTGCTCAGGACATCATGTCAGCACTCTGATTGTTTTATATTTTGGAGTATGTTGGGTTTTAGATGTTTGGATTAGGGATGTTCTTTGCTTGTGTTGCTCAGGGACACATGCATGTGATATATCAAGGCAGGTGTGTTGGAGAGAAGAATACCAAATTCAAGTCAGTGTTAGCTTGGATGGAGGGAGCGGACTGAGATGGGAGTTAGTGAACTGTGCAGTTTTGCCTGGGGTAGTCGGTGGTAGAGCACACGTCATGAGGGAAGTTCTGAACTCAGTCCCTAGCACTGCCTCCCCCAAAACATTGTAAAGGGGAGGGTTCCACAAATGTTTGGTAATTATTCTTGTGTTTTCAGATCTGAGTGATTTCATAATAATTAAGATCAAGGGCTGGGGCATGGTATCTGTCTTTAACTCCAGCATTTGGGAGGCAGAGGCAGGCAGAGCCTGTGAGTTCAAGGCCAGCCTGGTCTACAGAGTGAGTTCCAGGTCAGCTAGGGCTACATAGCAATACCCTGTCTGAAAAACAAACAAACCAAATAAACACAAAACTAAAACAAGATGAAGGCCCAGGAAGGAATGGTGGTCAAGTAGTGTGTGGCATAAGCAGCCATAGGAGTGAGTGTCATTGGTTGGTTTGTCACAATTGGACGCATTGCCCGAGTGCTCCAGCTTTAAGGACCCCTTTAAAAGTCAGACCCACTTACTCTCTCTTTTGCTTTCTCTTTTGCTCTCTCTCTCTCCTGCTTTCTGTTGGCCACCAGCTACCCCTCTCTTCCCCTCCCCCTCTCTCCTCTTCTGTTCCGGTGCCTCTATGTCTCTTCCCTTCTCCCTCACTCCCCTTTCTAAATAAACTCCTCTTTCAAGCTCTATCTGCTTGCCGCCGTGTTATTCCCTCCTCCTCGGTCACCCTCACCTGCTATGGAACCCGCTATGCTCTCCCACGTGGTCCCTTACTTGGGATCCCACTCACTTGGTACCCTCACTTGGGACCTCCCACTCCTATAACTATAACAAAAGAACATCAATATGTCCTCTGTGTCTCCTTGAGACTCCAACCTTCTTCCCAGCATCCTCCGTGCCTGGAAAGCCTGCCTAGCTATTGACCATTCAGCTCTTTATTAAACCAATATGAGTGACATATCTTCACAGTGTACAAAAAGATTATTCCACAACAGACATGAGGCGTTGAGCAGGCCGACAGCTTTATCCTGAGTCCTTGGGTGGTCCTTGGAGGCTGTGGAGCCCAGGATGACATGGCCAAATTTTTGTTTTAGCGACCATCTCTGCATTAGTTGTTGTGGAGGCTGGCTAGGAGGCAGATGGCCTAGAGGTGGGAGAGTGAGGATGCTGTGGACTAGCAGAGAAATGGCCACACAACCCAGGGACCACAGCGATTGATTGGTTGCCTCTGGTGGGAGGTACAAGGAGAGCCTGGTTGATCATTGCCAGTTTGCCACCACATCTGGATTTTTACATACGTGCTGGGATCTGAATTCAGGTCCTCATGCTTAGAGCAAGCAATTTACCCACTCAGCCATCTCCCCAGCGCTCAGTTCTTCTCTGTTGGTCCATCTTCTCACGGCTTTTCCCTGTGTGGTCATGTGAGGGTTCTGTCTGCTCTAGGGACCACATCCTTTATCCCATGAAATATGTCTGGGCCTCTCCAGCAGAAACACTAAAATTATTCTGATTGGGCTGTATTGAGACACATGATTCCCCTGAACCAATCACTGGCTGATAGGACCCATGTGCTGACTAGCCTAGGCTTGCCCATGTTCTACCTGGAACTCAAAGGGACTGGAAATGTGAAGGCATCTGAAGAAAACCATGTGCTCTACTGCTGAGATGTGTGTGATCCACTTAGTGTGAGCCACACACACTGCACTCATAGGACTCTCATTCTACAGACAAGGAAACAGGCCCCGGAGTTTAAATGTCTTTCTTAAGGCCACAAGGCTAGCTCCATACTTACTAATAGAAAGCAGTTGGCTGGGAGGTAGAGGACGAGGAGCTGTGTACTGTTACATGTCGGTGAAGGAAAAAAACACGGTAAGGCAGAAGAGTAACTACAGTCCAGTCAGCTTGTTCAACTACAGTTGACACATGGGAAGACACTCTCTCTCCCTGAGACCACTCAACAGGACACAGGCCTGGAGCTTCTAGGGACCATCACGAGAGTACAGGCGGCAAGGAGCAGACCACATGGGAAGGTGAGGGAGGCAGGTTCCTGAGAACTCCATCAAGGCCTGGATCTACCCTGGGAAGAGGTCAGGCCCACCCATGAAATTACTGCTATCGATGTGGTTCTCCAACAGTCATTGGTTTAGATGGGCTCGGGCTGTGTGTCTGCTGCTTGCAAATGAAAGTGTCCTGACTCACAAAGACAGG